AAGTTTCAGTGTTCATACCTGGGCTGTGTGCTGCCATCTCTGGCTTGATAACTAATATCTTAGGGAAACAAAGCTGGCTGTAGGATCATTTTGGGTGATTGTTTTCCTACCTTTCTTTCTTATTTCCTTTTCTCTTCACCAACATGAGAAAGATCTGGGATAAAAGTTGTTGATTAGAATTACAGCATATAAAACTATATCCTCTGCTCCCACCCGATTAGCGAAATCTGAGAACAGAATTTAGGTGTTTGTGGAGGGGCATTGGGTGGGGAGAGAGGGATCAGGTGAGGAATGCACTTGATACTGTCATGCTGGTCCAACAGGGGTGCAGGGGCCCAAATCCAGGTGTGGTGTGACTCTAAAACCTGTGCTCTACGTTTCTCTAGGGCCCAAACCAGAAACAAGAGTCATCCTTGATTCTCACATTTCTCCTCAATTTATTAATAAATCCAATCGGGTCAGCCTCCATAACAGATTCCAGATTTGCCCATTTTCCTCCATCCCCACTGCCACTCATTACTCTATCCAGTCAGCGATCACCTCTCTCCAGGACCAAAATAGCCTCCTTCTTCATCTCTCCGCCCCCAAGATCCTTCCTCCTCATGACAGCCAGCATGATATTTTAAAGACACAGATCAGATAGTAGCAGCCCTCTCCACAAAGCCCATTCATCGTTTCCCATTCCTTTCAGGTTGAATCCCTACCTCTTTTGCCATCTACAAAACCCACAGACTTGACCTCCACCTATGCCTGCATCGCATCTCCTAATGTCAGGTTTTCCCAGTCTCATTGCCGTGAGGTAGGCACCAATTCCTCCTACCTACAAAGCCTGCCTGGCTGCTCACCCTGCTTGCTCCTTTCCATTATATGAGCCATTTTTGTGTGTGTTCTTCAGAGAAGCCTTCTCTCTCTATCAGCTCTAGTTAACGTTCATACCATCTCGTCCTTGTTGCCCTCTGTTACTTCACCTTGTTCCTTTTCTTCATAGTACCTAAAATTATTTATAATTGCACGCGTGCTTACATGTTTACAATCACTTTTCCCTAATAGAGTATGATCTCTGAGAGGGCAGGAATCATATCTGTTTGTTCTCTGCGTGTACTCATTGCTCAGCATGGTGCCTGGACTCAACACACACTGTGTTCCAGTCCCAGCTCCCCTGCTCACTAGCTACATAATTGGCAAGGCATCTAAGCTCTCTGAGCCTCCGATTGCTGGTCTGTACAATAATAAGAACAGTAATTCCTGCATCTGTGAGTTGTTCAGAAGTTTGAATGAGATGATAATGTATGCAAAACCCTTTGAAATCTGCAGAGAACATTCTAGCCATGTGATGAATTATTTATGCCCTGACTCAGGGTCAAAAATGGAGTGTAGTCACGCCGACCCTGGTTCTGACAACTGCCAGGTGCTTTCAAGGCTTCTCAATGAAGTGTAGGCTTCAGACAAATGAGAAATCTACTAGACTGCTCTCTGCAGTTGGCTGAATTTCCAGCCAGCACAGATATGATTATAATTAGAGTTTCAAGAGTTCTGTTTCATTTCAAAAGGATTCCGTGGTACAGTCTGCAGTCTACCTGAGATGTGTGTCTAGAAGCTGATTGCGGTGGCAGGTGTTTTTATTCTGGCCTATTTGCTTCTTTTCCTACAATATCAAGGGTGTCTGTTTCTATTATACTCATTATTTTCAGTTGCCAGGTGAGAAGAGATTTTCCATATCTCCATATTTCCATTTCCATAATTTCACTATCTGAAATTTTAGATAGTGACCACTGAGCAAAATACGTAGTTCTCACCCACTCTCATCACTTCCTAAATGAACAGTTGCTTGGACAAACCTGCTTTAGCAGACCCAGGCCTTTTATTAGCAGCCAGAGAATAGTCTATAAGGGGAGGAATTACTCTGCACATGCATTTCTCCAAGGAAAAACATTTTTTTAGCCTGTCGAGACAGTAAAAGCTCTTATTAGAAACTATAGCAAAGTCAATTTCTCCATTCTTGCTGCTAAAGGATTCAGGACGCACCTCACTGCAGACCCTAAAGTCACAATCCAATGGGAGTTGAGCTCGCTGGAAATGGGCAGGGATGTCCAAGTGAGCAGGACTCAAATCAAAGCTGAGCCCAACCTGGGCGTTTACATATTTCAAGCCCCATTACCTGCTTTTCTGCAGGGTCCTTTTGATCATAATAACTCTTCACTAGGCAGAGTGGCGATGGTGGCAAGATCCACCCAATCTTCAGAGACAGCTGACTTTTTCTTGGTTCCTTTTTATTTATCTAATTATTTCCAATTTTAGCCAGCAGTGCTAAGGAGTCACAAAAGTCATGAGTCCTTGTTGGGATTGCTCTGAGTGAAAGAAAAGCCCACGTCTGTAAGTACAAAGGAGCAGGTTGGTCTCAAGCAGCACAATTCTCTTTGCATTCATCCTTCCACTCCAAGGATGAAGATGAATACATACCTGTGTTTCAAGTCCATTCTGGGTGCCAGATGCTGCAGCTCATTGATAAGACCCCGTATGAAGTGATTGCTATTCAAGGTCTCAACCCAATCTCCACCGCGTTCTTCTTTGATCCTGAGCTACACACCATGACCATTTGCTGTAGAATCTGCTGGTTGACTTAAGAGAGGGCGCTGGTTGTTTCACACCAGGATGAAAAGTGGAGCCTTTTCCTGTAATGAGATGGAACAAACAGTAAGCAATGTCGTCAGTGGGATGACCGAGCCAGAACACAAATTCAGTTGCATCCATTAACCGTTTCCCATGGAGGTCCCCAGCAAGTGACAACTGAAGTGTCCCTCGGTTGGTTCTCCAGTCAGTTGGCTTCAAGTCAGCAACATCTCTTATATCCTTCCTCCAAACCAGGCTTTTATGTCAGGCACTCAAAGTTAGAGATACTAAGACCCCATTCCTGCCCTCAAGGAACTTATGCTCTAACTCTAAATTCTTAAAAAGAGGCTCCAGAAGGGTAGGTAACTTGTTCAGAGTTACACCATTTTAAGTGACTGATCCAGTATTTGAACCTTGTTTAAAAAAAAAAGTTTATTTTTTATTCCAAAGCTTCTCCCTTTTCAACTATACCACATTGCATCCTCTTGTCACATTGCAGTATAATTACTTATAATTATTTTCAACTGCAGTTATTAAAATGTATTTCGCTCCACCTAACTTAGCAGGTGATTAGCAGGGACATAAATCAAGGTGTAATAGTGCATTACAAATGTTGAAAATATGCCCATATATTAAACATATTTTATATATTTAAAATAAAAGTGAAATTGGTTTATCTCTGGGTGATTTAAGTGATGTTTATCTTTTTTACATTGTTGTGTATCTTAAAATTTTTCTGCAATGAGATTGCATTGCATCTATCTTTTTTGAAAAGTTATTTTTAAAATAAAACAAAATAGATATGAAAATGCTTTTTAGGCTGTAAAGTGCTAATAAGTATCAGCTACTGAATTCATTGCAATGTAATAAAACCCTCAATGCATGGATTAGGCTAAAAGCACATCCAATCAACCTTGGTAACTGATGTTGATAAATGTCCCAGAAGTAGGTGCTCCCAGAGCAGTAAGACTATGGTTATCACAGATTTGGTGAGCCCAGCTTTGCCCAGCTGTACCAGAGGGTACAGAACAAATGAGGCCAGAGCCTGCTCAGGTGTTGCAGTGTCTAGAAAGGTGGAAATCTCTCCCTTTTTGTTGCCAATCTCTCATTTTATGGGAGGTTTAAAGAAATGCCCAATTGTAATATTCACCTGTTATCAGCCACTTTCCCTCAAGGATTCCTAGTGGGAATTTGGCTTTAATGACACTGCATGTGAACTTGGGTCCCCAGCTCCTTGAGCAGGTGGATAGCAGTGAGCTTACTTCTGGGCCAGGCACCCTGGAACTTCTTTACTTTGGATGTAATCCTTCTTTTGCCTCCTTGGAAACCAACCTCTGCCAATAAGTGCTACTCCTCCTATCCAAATGAAGCCTAACAATTTCTTCTCAGGCTTACTTATGTTTGACCAGCCAACCTCTTGCGTATAGAAGAGTCCCCTCCCTTTGGACAAAGGAGGTTTGGGCTTCCCTAGCAGTTTAGGAGATCAAGGTTGGTGATAGAAACTTCTAGGGGTATTAGCCTAGCAGTTCTGAGCCTTCACACTTATCATACATCAAGGTAGCTTAAGGAATATATTCCTAATTTAATCCAAGGTTCCTTCTAGACACTTATCATATTGGTACATGCTTTCAAGCAGAGTGCTTTATAGCTGGGAGGTAAAATAATATTTTACAATAGTGTATGATTTCAAAGGCACCTTCACTTGCACTTTTATTTCATTTAATCATCACAGCAGCCCTTTGGGAAACTTATTTACTTTGCAGTGAGGAAAACAAGGCTTAGAAAGGATGGGTGGTAAATCCAGGATTCAAGGGCAAGACTCAATCCCAGGTCTTCTGACTCCAAATGTTGGGCAATTTCCGCTGCTTTTCTACAATTAAAAATCTGACCGTAGGTCACGGGCTGAGAATGTGTAGGGTGAGAATGATCTTACTCACAGTGAAGCTGTCCTGCAGAAGGGAAGGAGAGGGGACAGGAAAGGAGCCACTGTCCACTGAGCTTCTCCTCAGTGGTGGCTGTCTTCCATGCACCATCTCCTGTAAATGTCTTCCGTGCACTATCTCCCCATTTACAGGAGATAGTGATCAAAAGGGAATGGAAATAAGGCAAGATTCAATTACTTCCCCGAAGTCACATAGCTTACAAGTGACAAAGGTAAGCTGGTAACCAGTCTTTCTGACCCCCAAATACACAATCTTCTTACCACACTTCATATTTCACTACAACTCAGTGCATTCACATACATGGTTGATTATAAAAAGCATGGCAAAGAAAAGTTCTCTGTTTTAGAAAGGTTTGTGTTTTTAAGGACACACGTATATCCCCTTTCTTTCCTCCAGCCCTCTGGCACAGCTTTCCATGTGACGTGGCTGATTTCTGCTCCCTTGCAGGGTGTGTGCTGGTGGTGTCTGTGATTGAACAGCTTGCTCAAGTTCACAACTCAACGGTCCAGACCTCAATGGAGAGACTGTGCAGCTACTTGCCTGGTAAATACAGAAAGGCTCATTTGGCTGTGGGTCTGCGTTTCTTTTTCATTCATGAGCCATCACGAGTGAGTTTATACCCTACATGTGCTCACAGAGGAGAATCTGATTGTGTTATTTCTGTGAGTTGATATTCTTATGGAACTCATAGAAATTAAAAGGAAGACACAAAAAAATACTTGAGGCAATTTTTTTCCCCTGACATTCATTTTCTCTCATGGCAGAATGAGATTGTTGTGGACATTTAGGGAATAAAATGTAGAATGGCCGATTGTTGTTTTATGTGTCACATTTATAATGATTTGCCCACCTGGTGATCATGGCCTTAAGTACCGAGAAGGTCAAAATTATGAATAATGAATAATTTTCAATGATTTATGTTAATTTAACCACACACACATTCTCAGATGCAAGCACCTCCTTTCTAACACAGAACTTTATTTAGGCTTGAGGAGACAATGGATCTTAAAACTCCAAATGGGAAAATAATCTGGGGACATTCCATTGATTTGAACTGGATTTCTATAAAATCCTTTACACATCCTGCAAAAGAAGGAAATGATTGGTGGTTTAAACAAATTGTATAGTTTTTTACACTCTCAGCAGAAAGAAAATATTGACGCTATTTCTCTTATAGAATACTGTTAGGTGTACAATCACAATGAATAAACTTCTTTGAGAGTCAAATTTTCATTCACTTAATGTTAAGGAACTAATTCTTCAAAGATGCCTACATTATTATTTTTAAGTAAGGTAGTTGGACTCATGACGATTTTATATTTATTTAACAGACGTTGTGTCAATGGCATCAAAACATTTTCAGAAAATTTATTGCATGCAGTCTCAATGTATACTCATAAGCTCATTTTTTTAGAATTCAAAAATAAAGACCGGGAGAGGATAATACACAAATACATGTGTTTGCAATGTCCCAGTTTGACCATTGCTAAGATTTTGACATATTTCCACAGAATTAGAAGGTAACGAATACACTTGAAATGCCCTTTGGCCTCCCCCACTCCCAGTTACATTTTCCTACCACCTCCCTAGATGGAACCACTCATAGGAACTTGATGGGCATTGGGTTTGGCAAATTTTATACTTTTACATTCACTTGTATGAATCCATAGACTATGTGTAGTATTGTCTGTGGATGATTTTTTAACCTTTTCTTGATAAAAGGAAACAAATTAAAAAAACACAAAATAAATGTAGAGCTTTATCAGTTATTGAAAGGTGAACACCCTTGTAAACATAGCACAGGTCAGGAAAGAACAGATAGGTAGCTGCTCCAAAAGTCCCATCCACATGCCCCAACCATCATAAATTCCTCCTCCCCCCTAAAAAGACAACATCCTGAAGATTACTATAATCATTTCCTCGTATTGCTTTATAGCTTTATCACCCAACTGCGTATCTCCAGACACCATAGTCTTGCCCAGTTTTTAAATTTTTGATGTGTCTTTTAAGTCGATTTTAATCTACCAGTTTCCTTTCCATCCCTTCCTTTTCCTTGTAATTTAGCTGTGGAATCTGTCGTGTAGAGTTTCTGCATTTTGCTGATGGCATCCCTGTGGTATGATTGAATATGTTTCTCTGTGCTCTGTATTTCCTGAAAATTGGCAGCTAGATCCAGAGGCTTGATGAGACTCCAGTTTGATTTCTTTGGCAAGGCTATAAGTGATGGTGTTTTCTTTCAACAGGAGGCCATCATAAGTGGTTTTCTCTTTTCTATTTTTGTGATATTAGCAGCTGTTGATGCTCTATGACTAGGTCTATCAGTTCATTGGAGGTTGCAAAATGGTGCTATTCTAATCTATCAATTATATTTCCTTTAGTAGCTGAAATATATTAGAGACAGTTTCCCTCATCATCATCATAGCTTAGGGATGTTTTTCCCCACAGTTCCTAATGGTACTATTATTCATTCTAAGAAAGGCAGGATAAATGCTTGATTCTTTTGTTTTACTTGCCAGTTTTCAAATAACTCATTGCCTTTATAGTATCATCTCAAAGTAGTCACTTGGTTTTCTTTAAAGTATCATTATGAACTCATGAATTTATACACATTTGATGAGTTTCAGACTACTTCAACTATTATCCCTTTAAAGCTCAAATTCTCTCATCTTTGACCAGTAGGAACTTCAAGTTGGCTCCTGGGTCCTTTTGACATAAGTCTAAGTAGTCTTTGTAGCTTCCTCACTAACTAGTGTGACAAGTTGTTCCAGCCTGTCTTGTACATTTCCAACCCCAGGCTTGAAATCAGTCATTTCTTAGAAGCTCTGGTTTCTTTTAGTGGGAAATAGTATTAAGACCATGATCTGGGTGCATAGGAATGTCATTGCTACTCAGTTGGTCATTCTTTCTAGACTTCTTCTGTTGACAATGATAGAAAATATACATATATACATTTACATATATTATTTTAATATAAAATATATGCGTTCATTCTGACACTTCAAATTCAGGACTGCAGGATTTTTTTTTTCTTAGTTTCTTCTGTATCATATCTGTATCTTCTTTCCACACTCAAAGTCCTAACTCTCAAGGACCAGGGGATTGATAGAATTAAAATATCTCATAATTACTCATTTACCTATCCTTCTTTACACATATGATAGCCTCATTTCTCCATTATTTGAGTATGTGGCCATTACGTACAATATATACATTCCTTTTCATCTTCATTTAGTTTTAGTTCCATCAGCAACTGTAAGATTGATGTTCACCACCAGCCCTTATGCAGATGTCTCTCTAGTCGAAGTGCTGTCTAAAGTTCATTCCTCAGGAAGGACTCATGAGAATAATATTCCCTGAATTCTTGCACGTTGATAACAAGCTGGCTTGTCCTTTACATTAGAAAGTCAGTGTTTTTCCGGATATAAAAATCCTTGGCAGGGACTTCCCTGGCAGTCCAGTGGTTAAGGCTCCACACTTCCATTGCAGGAGGTTTGGGTTCAATCCCTGGTCGGGGAACTAGGATCCCACATGCCACAGAGTGTGGCCAAAAAAAACCCCCAAAAAAACCTTGGCACAGTTTCTTTCCCTAAGTGTCTTAAATATGTTATTTAAAAGCGTAATGATAATCTAATTTTCTTTTTCTTATAAGTCACTTTGCCTAGTTTAAAGGAAGTTTTTTTTCTTCTGTAAAATTTAGTCACCTAACTAGACTATGTCTTGGTGTTGGCTGTTGTATATTGACATTCTCAGGCATGCAGTGTGCTCTTATTCTCCCATTTTGAAACTAATATGTGGTTTCAAATACATTTTTTATAATTTCAGGAAAATTTTTAGCATTTGGTCAGTTTCCTTGATTTGGTTTTCTTTGTCTGGGTTTCTAATAACCATATTTTAAATCTTCTTTGCCTGTATTCACGATTTTGCCTATCTCTTGAATGAATACTTTTTATCACTTCATTTATTTTTTATCTTGAAAGTTTTCCTCTTTTTCATATTCTATTTCTCTTAAAACGTCAGCTATTGTATTTCCCTTCCTCTTGTGTTCATTCTAATTTAGATTTCATTACTTTTATAATCTTGTTTTCTTCCCTGAGTTCTTTTATTTCCATACCTGAGTTTTTCCAATTCTGATTTCTGTTGTTCTTTCATGTCTTATACCATTTTATTAATGCTTCTCACTCATTTTAAAATACTGTTATGTTTTAATCCTTTTTTTGGCATGATTTTCTGGCATGCTTTTGCTATCTGTAAGGATGTGATTCTGTTCCTTATTCTTTTTTTTTTTCTTATAATAACTTTGTATGGGAGTTGACCTAGATACATATCTGTTGCTCATTTTTATGTGAAATTAGTTTTCAAAAACTCTTAGAAAGAGAAGTGGCTCAGGGTAGCTTCTCCAAATGCACAGAACTCCTTCTTCCATTGTTTTTGTGTAGTGTTAAAAAGTAAGTAAATAAACACATGGCTGCTTGCATTTTGAAATTTTCTGGTTCTGTCCCTCTGCACACTTTTGCCTGGATTTTCTCTTTACTTTGCTTCTATCCAACTCAGTTTTGATTCCAAACCCACTAGTTTCCCCTCAGTGTGGACCCTGTCCTGGAAGGGAGGTCTGGTAGATCATTTTCTAGAATTTGTAAATGCCTGACCACTCAAACCCCTTAGTCTTTATAACCTTGAGTCCTTTGCACTCATCTGCTACTGCAGTGGGCAAACCCCCTCCCAGTTTCAGCTGATTTTAATATAAATCTGGGGATGTTCTTCATTGGCCCACCATACTTTGTCGTCAATACCTGTGGGCTATTTTGGAGATTCTGCTATTCATCCCTTTGCTTCCCTTTACTTTCTCCCACACTGATGTTGATAACCCTTAAGTCTCATGATTGTGAGTGTTTTATCGTTGCCTTAATTGTATTCTGGGGTTCGTGGAGATATCTAGTTTTGTTGTAAGTGTCGTCCATGGGGTTTTGGTTTTCCTATCTAGAAGCTCTATTTTTTTTTTTTTTTTTTTTGTAGAGATTCAGTGAAATTCCCAAACTCTGCTGCCTCCACCATCATCTTTCCAGAATCCTCCCTTGTGGGGACTGTAGTTTTATATCAATGGTTACCGTATATACGACTCTGCAACTTCTGCTTTTCACTCACCATTATGTTTTTGAGATCTATATGTGTCAAGACATATATAGACTTAGGTCAAGCCTCTTAATTACTCTATAGTCCTTCACCATATAAACGTCCCATATTTTATTTATCCATCCCCATTTTTATTGGACATTCAAAATCTATTATAAACCTTGCTTTATATTTTCACATCTCTGAATTAGAGAAAGAAGAATGGTATTACCATTTTACAAAAAGGAAGAAAAATTAAAAAGTCATAATCGTCATTAAGACTTGTTTTGATTGTTGTCATTTCTGTGTAATAGACCACACTGACAGATATCACCATTTTTACCTGGAGCTTGATTTTCTCTTTTTAAGCAAAGTTGTGTTGTTCAGAGATGAAAGGCTGAGTAAAAATCTTATTTCTCAGGTGATCCTGTCCCAAAGTACCAGCAAAATACAAAACAACATGAACCAAGATTGCTGGTGTTCAAGGTTCCACCTTGGCTCCTTTTGACTCATAACAGAAAATTTTAGTCTGCTGAGGTAAAGTGAGAGGTTGAAAAGTCAGATGCTGGCAAAAGAGAGGCTAGCACTTTGCCAAGGGAAGGAAAGTTGGTATTTCAGTGGAGAGTTACCTTTTAATTGAAGGCATTTCAAAGGATTAATAAGGCTATTTGGAGTTATTTTCATTTTATTAATTAATATTCACCTCTAGATAGACATAAAGTACCCAGTTCGGATTAAAGGCTCTTTCACCTGACAGACATCAGGGCAGGGTTGGCGTTACTGTTTCCATTTTGTGGATAGGAAAGGGTGCACAGAATGGTCACGTGAATGGTATAGGGTGACAAAGATAGTCTGACCCTTAGCTAAATATTTCTCCTTCTAGAAAACATAATAGGCCTGGTCCACAGTGGCTGCCTGCACCCAGTATTGCCTTCTGTCTGGTGAGAATGGGAGAGAGGGAAAGCCAAAATGTGCACAGCAACAAACAGTTATTATTTTAAAAATTATTTTTAAGTAGTACTGCTTTTATCTCCAAAGCTAAACAAGTATATAAAACGTAACCTTAGCAGAGAAACCATGCAAGCAACATTCTTGAGAATAATCACTCAGTAAATCATGCAGGCCTTTCTGATGCCTGGGAAGACAATTTTTTCGAATTGTGCAAAGTATTTCTGACCTTCAGTTTCACCCACTGCATTTGCCTCTGGCTCTCACTAGTAAACACCTTGGAAGAATCTCAGAATTGTTAATGGAAAAATGATTAATGGAATCATTCTCACCAGGGGTCAGTAGACTCATATGCCCTCAGATTCTTGCTAGAATTTCAGTTTCCTGGGTCACCTGTGCAGAAATCTTATCTCCGTGGAGTATGATAGCTAAAAACTCATGTCGTCTTAAAATGAGGAAGGCAACTCTCCTCACATTCTGTAGGTTCTGAAAATCGACATGCAGCCCAGAACACATAGCTACAAAACTCTCTCAGTGGTCAGTTCACCTCACTGTGCTGCAAACTTCTAATGAGTAGTTAGTGTATACCTGCCATACCTGAGGTAGATGAGGCATCAAATAACATGTCCTAAGTACGTTGAAATGCATACTACAAATAGTTTGGGCTTTTGGGGTAGAAGACTTTAATCTCTTACTGAACCACAGTGCTCTTGGGCAGCCTTACCTCTCTAAACCTCAAAGTTCCTTCCCATAGAATGAGGGTAAAAGTAACCACCCCCTCAAAAGTTTCTTATGAGAAACGAAGTGATGATAAACATAAAAGTGGCTTACAGCTTGGGGTGTTCTAGATTTTATTTACACCCACATATGTGGATACACCTATCGTTCCTTTTTTAACCTTCCTTTGCCCTTGGGAATAGCCATACTTTTTTTTTCCCTGTGCTGTTCCAAGTCCTTTTGATTCTGTAGAAATTAAATGCTCTTGTACCTTCCTGGTCACGGGCAAGGTTTAACTGTATACATTTTATATCAGATAGGTTACTAGCACTATGTTAGTGCCAGTCTTTTCTTCAGTTGTAGCAGTAACAGGTTACCATCTGATCATGGCTGACTGGGCCCTGTCTGGCTTTTTCTAGAGACTTTGCCTCTCTCTGCTCTGCACCCTTCTGTGTTGATCTAAAGTTTAGCTCTCAGAGGCCCATCTCTTGTCCCACATTAGCCATCTCTGCAGGAGCCTCTCATTCTTAACCATCACAGAATCTGTTTGAGAAAACTGGTTGTTCAGATGGCCCTGCACAGAGGGTGAGGAGAACATTGCTGCCACTCACTTCAACTTGAGCAAAATAATGTTCTATAAAAAATACACACACACACATGCAAATACCTCTTATTTTACCAGAAAAAAGAAAAATGTTCTCTGCCTTTCAGGCAGCACTGCAAGTATATCAAAGAACACCCTGGTGTCGATTTTTAAATTGCTCTGCTCTCGGCTAAACTAGTTTTACATTAACGATACTGGAAACTCATTTCCAAAGTACTTTGCAAGTTCACGTAATTTTGAATGTCAGTTACATAATCCTCCAAGCTTCCAAGACAGTGAAGGGAACTGAACTGAATCCTACTCCTACATTTTTCAGATGAGGAAACTGAAACCCAGAAGGGGAAGCAACCTGACCAAGGTCAGAAGCCAGCTAGCTGGTGCTGAAACCCTGGTGTCTGAGACTTGGGACATCAGAGCTTTTTTGACACCCCTAAGGAGGAACACCCAAGGGGTGCTGTTTTTATTTTATAACAGTTGCATTGATATTTAATTCACATGCCATACAATTCACTCATTTAAAGTGTATAATTCAGTGGTTTTTAGTATATTCACAGAGTTGTGCATCCATCGACACCATTAATTTTAGAACATTTTCATTAAACTGAAAAGGACCTCCATGCCCCTTAGCCGTCACCTCCCAAACATCCATTCTCGCCAGCGCTAAGCGACCACTAATCGACTTTATGCCTCTGTGAATTTGCCTATTCTAGGCATTTCATGTAAATGGAATCGTAGAAATGCATTTCTTTCACTTAGCATAATGTATTTAAGTTCATCCATGTTGTAGCATGTATCAGAAAGTCATTACTCTTTATAGTTGAATAATATTTTGTTGTGTGTAGATAGCCCATTCTGTTCATCCACTCAGTAGTTAATGGCCATTTGGGTTGAGGCATTTCCACTTCTTTGCTATTTTATATAATTCCTCTATGAACATTCATGTATAAGTTTTTGTGTGGGTATATAAATATTGAATTCTTTTGGGCCTAGGAGTCGGCTTATTGGCTCACATAGCAACTCAATATTTAACCATTTGAGGAACTGTCAGACTGTTTACCAAAGTTGCTGTACCATTTTATACACCCACCAGCAGAATATGAGGATTCTGATTTCTCCACATCCTCAACAATACTTGTTATTATCCTTCATTTTATAAAAATAAAAGTAACCACCTCTTTTTTTAATGTAAATTTATTTATTTTATTTATTTATTTTTGGCTGCGTTGGGTCTTCATTGCTGCACATGAGTTTTCCCTACTTGTGAGCGGGGGCTACTCTTCGTTGTTGTGCGCGGGCTTCTCATTGCAGTGGCTTCTCTTGTTGCAGAGCACGGGCTCTAGGCACGCGGGCTTCAGGAGTTGTGGCACACGGGCTCAGTAGTTGTGGCTCACGGGCTTAGTTGCTCCACGGCATGTGGGATCTTCCCAGACCAGAGCTTGAACCCGTGTCCCCTGCATTGGCAGGTGGATTCTCAACCATTGCGCCCCCAGGGAAACCCTTATCTGTCATTTGTATTCTCACATATCATCGTGGGTATCAAGTGGTATCTCACTGTGGTTTTTATTTACATTTCCTTTAACAGCTGATGTGTTTCATGTGCTTATTGGCTATTTGTATAACTTCTTTGGAGAATATCTATTCAGATGATTTTTGAAAACGTTTGGTACAATTCACCAGTGAAGCTATCTGGTCCTGGACTTTTCTTTATGGGACATTTTTGATTACTAATTTAATCTCTTGTTGTATGTCTATTAAGATTGTATATTTATTCTTGAGTCAGTTTTGGTAGTTTGCCTTTCATTTGCTGCCATGCAGATGTCATAGTATTTCCTTATCGTTCTTTTTATTTCTGTAAGGTCAATAGTAATGTAAGATTAGTTTTAAGTTCCTACTTCAAAAGCATAATGTGTTTGAAGTCTCATGCTTTATTGCAAAAAAAAGTCCCATGAAACTATCTATTTTAATATAAAAGTAATATTTACATTATTTACCATTGAGTAAAATTGAAGTACCAGAGAGTTTTCCCATATTTATCCTGAATAGTGCCTATTCTCCAAGCAACTGGTAGCCCAGTTTGAGGTAAATATGACAAGAAAAATTTTTCTCAGGGAGGGTCTCCCATTTGTCCCCAGGACAGTCCATCCGTCCTAACCATGCAAAAGCCCTCCATAGAATTACCAGGGTTCCATAGTCGGCTGACAAACTGGAGAAACAGGACCAGAGATTTAACAGGTTTCCTTGTCCAAACAGACCAACCCATAAAGCCTTCCTGTATTTTCATAACAGGGGAAGCAGGAGAAGGAGGTTGTCTAGGCCATGGGTTTGCATGTGTGCGTGTGTGTGTGTGTGTGTGTGTGTGTGTGTGTGTGTGTGTTCTCTGGTGTAGATGGCAATGCAAACACCTGTGACAGTTAGTATCCTTTTATGTCTGGAATACCAACAGCAACAATTAAATAGCCAAAGTAAAGTCTTTTTTCCCCAAATGAACATCAGAGAAGAATATTTTTAACAAAGCAATAGTTCAGATTATTTACTTTAAAGCAAGTCCTGTTTCTGTCATCATCAACAAATGAGATCCTTTCCAACATTCAGACATTCCCTGCTGTACAAAAGAAAATGAGACTCCAGAATTTAACTATTTTTATCAAAAATTAGTGGTCTTTAACATCTACAGTAAACAAAGTGCCGTTTACATAAACCTGAGATGGAAATGATATTTTCATGCGTATATTAACTGTAACGTTCCTCCCAAACCTTTACAATTAATCGCTTGAATTAATAATAAATTAAGCACTTAGCTTCAGTTCCTAGTAAAGATCATTATTAACTCGTGTGTTAAATTCATCATAATGAAAAGTAATTTATTTCCCCTGATTTTTCTTAGAAAAACTGTTCTTGAAGACCACCTGCTATTTAGTGGTAGGCATATTTGGACCAGACATCATAAAACTGTGAGTATGCCAGCACATTAATCTGATTTGGTTGCTGGGACATGATGGGGGGGAAGCAGGAAAACTGGGAGGTAGCTGGCTCCATTTCCAGTTGGATGTACTTTTTGTAAAAGGGCGTAATATCTCTCCAGTTCTTGTTAATAGTGGAAAATTCAAACCTGACTCAGATCCTTTGTGATCCTAGGCAAAGGCTCCCTTTGAATTACAGTGTGGCAACCTGGCTCAGTTTCTCTCCAAGAGGATTTCAGAAGGAATTTCACCAATAATGCCAACAAGTGACAAGATCCTAGTGGCGGGACATGGGAATTTGACCCTTTCTCCCGAGCTTGCCCTACACTCCCTCCTGGGTTCTCGGGCCACGTGCTTCTCAGGTTCTTTCCTTCTCTCCTCCCACCTGCTGGTTTCCCGGCCTTCTCTCCAGCCCCACCCCTCAAGGTCCTGTATGTGCGCCCTTATCATTACCTGTCTGCTTCCTTTCTTTCTTTTCTCTTTTTTGAGCTCAGAGCACTGGATCAGATAAATCATATTCCTGTTCATGGCGCTTTCTCATCAAGGATTCATACATGGCTTTCTTGTATTTCTTCTTTAGTTATTTACCTAGTTACTTTGAATACTGTAATTAGCTTCCAAATTACCACCCAAGGCAAATTCTAGGTCCTTGACAATAACTTACCCTGACCACACGGTCCTTCTCTTCATTCTCAAGCTTTTCTCCACCTGAGTAATAAATCCCATGTTTATCTTTCTCTTGTTTCCTTTTTCTATAGTCTTTATATATATGTATATTTTTATTAATATGATAAATTATAATCATAAAAATAATATATGCTAATACAATAAATAATTATTAATATATTTATTTTATATATTCCTTTAAAGCATATTTTAAAATTCTGGTTATTTCTTTACTTTATGAAGAGGGTATCACATTGTTCATAATCTTTGGGGACTTCCACTTAAATTTGTATGTCTAAGATTCATCCATAGATTTGTGTCACTGCTGTAGTTCATGCACTCTGACTGCACACAATATTCCATTGTGTCTCTACAAGAGTCTATTTCTTCACTCTCCCATTGACGGGTGTTTGGGTTGTTTTCTGGTTTTGCACTGTCCACATGTGGCACTTGTGAACAGTGCTACTGTGAACATTCTTACATGGTTCCTATTTTATATGCCTCATATTAGCCTCAGAGCAGAGTGGCTCAGAGAAGCTAACCCCACAGAAGGGTAGCCTGCAGTTACAGAATTCTAAAGACAAAAGGAACTTAAAATGATACAGACCCGAGGGATGATCAGTGTTCCATCGTGCTGTGCACCTGCCTCTGTTTATATTGCCCTCCCTTTACTGTGGTCAGTGATTTTTCCCGAGCCCTGGACTGGGAGTTTTTGGAAGGCAGGGACCCTTTCTTCTTAGCTCATATCTCTATTACTGCCACTGCCTCCTAATAGGACCCCAGCCCTGCAGGATTGCCCATTGCCTTGCAAGTCCATAATCCACATCCTAGCTGGCTAGATAGCTTTTTAATGCAAAACTAATTATGGCAATCTCCAACATAAAATTTTCACACCCTTTGCAGGATTCCTTAGCCCCCTACACAAAGCTCTGTATGAACTGACCCCTGAGGACATTTTCAGACTCATCCCTGGCTGCTCCACAGCACACCATGCTCCAAACCACTTATAATTCTCCCCACACATCAGAAGGTTTTTGCCTCAGGACCTTTGCATGAGCTGTTCACTCAGCTTGGCACATCCAAAACCTGTACCCCAAAAATATCTTACTTCTTTGGACCTCAGCTCCAGGGTCATTTCCTCTGGAAGCTTTCCTGACCCTCTCTAGGCTAAGATAGATACCCCCAACACACACACACAGACACACACACTCTTCCTATCCTGTGCAAACCCCTAGCACTTGCAAACAGCACTTATCATGTCTGTTTGTACTTTAATTCTCCATTTACTTTTTTGAGTTGATAACTAGATTGAAAGACTTCTGAGAACTAAGACTACACTTATTCATCTTAAGCAAAATACTGAATATGTGGAAGGAAGGAAGGAAGGAAGGAAGGGAGGGAGGGAGGGAGGGAGGGAGGGAGGAAGGGGAAGCAGGGGGCTTTGTATCTCCAGGGCTTGGTGCAATACTTGAGCATAGAAAGCCTTTAGTAAACATTTGTTAAATTGATTAATTCTTTATAAAAATAAAATTATCACTACAGATGAACTAAAGAAAAGAAAACAATTTAGCCTATTCAATGAATCTGTTTACACACCTAGTCTGAGCCAGGTGCTCTGGGGGAAACATCAGCTTGGCCAGAGAGGTTTTCCTGGGCCTAGATCAGGGAACCAGAGAAGTAAGTGGAAAACAGTCACAGAAAAAATGGGTCTGGCAAGCCACTGAAAGAGGCTGAATAGGTGGTGGGGAGGGGAAGAAAGTTTTTCCTTTGAGAGTCATAAGTGACTAATTCTCATTAGTATGGGGGAGGCCACTTTGAAGAAAGATAGATATAATAAATGATCCCCCTTTGTGGTTCCGTCCACTATTAGTTTTGTTTGTGTGTAATTTTCCAGGACCCATATTAGTTGTTTGCTGATAGCAATTTCTCTTCCTATGGTGGCCTCTTCTTACAGCTTATTTTAATCAATCACATGCAGTTCTGGGCTGATGTAGACCCTGAACATGACAACCTTACGATTTAGTTTTACCTGAATTTCAGGCTTCCAATACTAAATGTTTCCTAACCCAGAGGGCATCCCTCCTCATTATTTCATAGGTCAATTCTCAATGGTTCATGGACTAATTATTCAGCAGTTACATTTCCTACCACAGGCGAACCACAGGATGTTGTTAGGAAGTGGGACACCTGAGTACTCGGGCATTCATTAGCCCAAGAACCTGGGTCTGGCAGGGCGGGGCTACTTCCGGGAGCAACCAAGCCTAGCCAGTGACCACGTGCTCGGTCTTCCTTGTCTTGACTTCTGTTGTGCCAGAGGTTGCCATAGCAAAGCTGATGCTGGTCTTCTGTTCATCTCACCTTGCTTCATGGTATCTATTTATGCTCTCAATCATAAAATCTTATATTTCAAACTTAGGGAATATAAGATTTCAGAAATCAGGAGAGGCCTAAACTACTAACATGTTTAGAAGAAAAATGCAAAACAGGGTTTAAAACAATTTTGGTACAACTTAAAGGTAACTAACGTGTATTTAAATAGCAAAAATATAAAGTACAATAATACAACTGAGCCATTGACAAGGTAATGACAAGATTTATAGAAATGATTAAATTCCTAGTACACTCCAAAGTGTGTGGTCCAGAAGTGAGATAAAAGTGTTAAGTCGTATGAGGAAGATCTTCTTTCAATGCTGTGAGTGTATCTCTGTGGTTATATATTAATGTATAAATTCTCCTTTGAAAGTGATGTCAAAGGTCTAAATCTGAGAGCTTCCTTGTGTGAAAGGCTCTGTCCTTGCTCCCTGCCATAAGCTATCACTCTACCTGTCTGTTCAAACTTAACCCTGACCGTGCTCCCTTCTTTTGATTTATGATGATGACAGTCATCAGCATTGACTTCCTTCTACCATGATCCTAATTAAACTTGTTAGTTAGCTCTGCCGAATGTGTTGAAGCTTCCTCCCCACGTGACTCACTCCTGTACAACTCTGTTACCTGTAAAGGTAGTAAAGGATGTCAATTGAAATGTGACCATTTTGGTCTTATTTGCAGTTCTGGGAAAAGGAAGGCAATGTTGGATGGGAATAGTTATTAAGGGTTTGGAGATTTCCTAAGGATTTCACAAATTATGTATAGCCTAAGCCTTCTGTCCCAAGGTTGGTTAAGAGTGCACATGCTACTTTGCCACTTCTTTGCATCTTGCACATTTCATGGTCTTACACTTGTCTGGATGTCTGAGGTTCAGCACTTTCTATTCTTGTGCAAAGGGGTGCTTCTCAATTCCAGTCTTTTGATGATAAAGCTCTGATCTTAGAGGATTGGGGAGGGAAACCACATACCCACTTCCCCTCTTCTATTTTTCAGTTCAGAGAACACAAGTCTCACTCGCTGAGTGAGGGGCCACCACCCCCACTCCCATATTCAAGTTCACTTACTTGAAATTTTGCTCTGTTTGCAGGGGAAAGAGAATAGATCTTGGACACCATATGATGAGTTAGCTCTGGTGGTTCTGAATTGCCACAGATGGGATATTGGCCTTAGGTTAAAAAAAAAAAAAAAGATTAAGCAGAGCCCTATTTATTACCCTCCTGAGTCCACAAAATACCAGGTCTCCCCAAAGACAGCAGTCATCAATTAAATAAATGAACCATTAAGTTGAGAACAGATGTGTGAAACCAGCCACCCTCTCCTGATTTACTGACCCTTGGTAGGCATTACTTTGGTAATGGACCTCGTGTGTCACAAACTGCTTGTTCCACAGCTTAGTCACCTTTACGTTACCTTCCCCTCCACCTCCTATGAAGGAACCCTGGGGCCAAGCAGATAACTCTCATGATGAGCTCGTTTTCCTGTCTTAACTCAGATGCTCACAAGAAGCTGAAAAGCCATCTAGCCAGTCACATTGTTAGTCTCATTCAGCTGGAATGAAATTTGAAAGCCATGATCCCAGCCTATGTTTTCACATACTAGTGACCATCAAAATATTTTCCCTTTTTGTAATTGAAGTATAGTTGACTTACAATATTGTCTTTGTTTCAGGGGTACAGCAAAGTGATTTGGTTATACATATATTCTTTTTTATTATTTTCCATTATAGTTTATTACAAGATATTGAACATAGTTCCCTATGCTACACAGTAAAACCTTGTTGTTTATCTGTTTTATATATGGTAGTGTGTATCTGTTAATCCCATATTCCTAATTTATCCCTCCCCCTTCCCCTTTGGTAACCATGAGTTTCTTTTCTATGTCTGTGAGTCTATTTCTGTTTTGTATATAAGTCCATTTGTACTATTTTTTAGATTCCACATATAAGTGGTATCATGTAACATTTGTCTTTCTCTCTCTGACTTACTTCACTTAGTATGATAATCTCTGGGTCCATCCACGTTGCAGCAAATGGCATTATTTCATTCTTTTTTATGGCATTGTTTAATTCTTTTTTATTCCATTGTGTGTGTGTGTGTGTATACACACACACACACACACACACATATCACATTTTCTTCATCCATTCACCTGTTGATAGACACTTAGGTTGCTTCCATGTCTTGGCTATTCTAAATAGTACAGCTATGAACATTGGAGTGCATGTATCTTTTCAAATTAGAGTTTTCATCTTTTCCTGATAGATGCCCAGGAATGGGATTCCTGGATCACATCAAAATATTTAAAGATCTTTGAGATGGACTCTCTTTCTCCGATAGGCTTTTCATTAATATTGGGGCAGTTCTTTCTGCAAGAAGGTTCATGATATAAATTAAGACTCAAGGCCCCTCCTCGCACTTTTTGCTTGGCAGTCCAAAGTTAAGATTAGTAGAGCTTTTAAAGATGTTTCGATGTTCAGCAACTATTAAAAGTGCTACTTACGCACTAAGTGAGACCAGGATGCGTTTCTGTTTTGTTTTGTTTTGTTTGCACCTTGCTTTTGTTTTACGTCTCTAAATCTCGTGTTTTATTCTGCATGTCCAGGTAGAAAACTCCCTTGGAGGAGTGGACAACCCAATGGAGGGTCGCTGGAATGGTTATTGGAGGAATAAAGCAGAAATAGGAGTGAAGCCAGGGAGCAGATCCAATGACTTACATCCAGGCCCTGGTCACAGGGCCAAGCATTGCCAGGCTCACCAATGCTTCTCAAGGGCTGGCCCATGCGTGGGCTGTGACTGCATTCAGTCAAAAAAAACAAAAAGACAGAAACAACTTAGCTTTGCTTGTGAAGTAGAAGGAAGAGGAAGAGGAGAAGGGTCAGGGAGAGAAGAATGGTGGTAGTGATTGTAGTAGCTGTAGAGATAGTCACTGTAATAGTTGGAGGGGGAGCGTGTTAGAGTAGATTTATTACAAGGACACCTAAGCATTAGAGTAGATTTATTACAAGGGCACCTAAAGCGTTAGAGTAGATTTATTACAAGGGCACCTAAAGCATGTCATGGAACTTAAAGACGGGAAAATATCCAGGCTTCAGACAGAGTTGGAAACAGGACTGGGAAGCCACCAGGAGCAGAGTCTCTTCCTCACGGCACACGTTGGGTTCTGCCGCCTGAACCCCATCCTACAGACTAGCTTTCCAAATGCTCTGTCCTCGTGGCAGGAAATGACATTACAGTCCCCAGTCACTATAGCTCCTGCTATTCTTGGAACAGCCCAGAATGAAGTCAGACTTTTTAATACCAATTCCAAATTTCCCTGAGAGAGAATCTGATTGGTCCTACTTGAATTGCAGTCTAATGAGGACCAATCAACTGGCGGGAGATATGAAGTATATACACAGTTGCCAGGAACCCACCCCTACAAGTGAAGGGGGACAGTTAAGTGATCTTGTGAGTTGAGAAGAAACCCCTCAAAATAGCTTCTAGAATCTATAACTGTCCTTCCAAGATTAGTCTCTAGATATTACCAACGTATGTTTCTGGAGTCTTTGTTTTTGTTATTTTGATTTGAGTTTGAGTCAGTAGTTTACTTGGAAAAGTTACTAAAAGTCCACACATGACTTGTTCCTTCATTTGAAGCAGCACATTATACTCATTCTTCTTGGTTTAAGAGTGTTGGGGGTGGCATGTAGAAAATGAATATGGAAGGTTTGTTTTAACCCCTTCAAACCCAGACATAAACCAAAATGTTTGAAGAGCACTATCCTTACACCATACTCAGGGGAAAAAGTCAAAGATAAATATATTTGCTTTAAAAGGAAAAGAGGTGATTTGGATTACATCTAAGAAAATAATTTTAGGTGTTTAAGGCTATATCAAAGATTTTTTGCTATAAGGCTCAGTAAACATTAAAATGTTGTTCTGGGACTTCCCTGGTGGTGCAGTGGTTGAGAGTCTGCCTGCCAATGCGGGGGACACGGGTTCGAGCCCTGGTCTGGGAGGGTCCCACATGCCTCTGGGCAACTGAGCCCGTGTGCCACAACTACTGAGCCTGAGCTCTAGAGCCCATGAGCCACAACTGCTGAGCCCACGTGCCACAACTACTGAAGCCCATGCACCTAGAGCTCGTGCTCCGCAACAAGAGAAGCCACAGCAATGAGAAGCCCACACACCACAACGAAGAGTAGCCCCCAATCGTCTCAGCTAGAGAAAGCCTGCGCGCAGCAACAAAGAGCCAACACAGCCAAAAATAAATTAATTAAATAAATAAATTTAAAAAAAATAATGTTGTTCCCATGAAATTACACCTCTGTCCATTTTTCCTTTCTCAATTTTATTTGCGGCTTCTCCTGAAAAGCGTCACAGTGCCCGTGTGAGAGGCCGGCTCACAGCTCCGTGCTGTGAGTCGTCTCTCCCCACCCCCAGGACCTTATTCTAAAAGTAGGAGAAAGCAAGTGGCAGGAAATCGTTATGATCCAGCAGCTGCATGGAACTGGACTCAAAGGCCATACTAGAATTCATTCTGGGAGTTGACCTTCTTTTGAAATAGCTTTTGTTTCCTAATGCCTGAGAGCTTTTAAATATCCTTTGTTTTGCCCTATTTCCCTCCAGGCTCAGAGCGGATGTAAATGCTGATGTGGTGTGTCACACCCTGGAGTTTTGTAAACAGGACCCTGGCCAACCCTTGTGTCACCTCTATCCCCTTCCCAAGGTGAGTGCTTTTTCATTCTGAATGTCAGATTATGGTGATATGCAAGCCCTTTGGAAATCTGGTAAAGGGAGGTTCAGCTTCACTGGCTCAGTGGTCTGGGGACAGGGACTGGAAAAATGACATTTTCCATTACATCGCCTGGAATAATATTCCCAAACTTCAACTTAGCTCCCTCTCCCATGCCATCAAAGAACATCTTTGCTGTTTATTTTAGACTGTAATCTAGAGCTGGGCCGGCAGTACATAGGAAATCTGACCAGCCAAGGTGAGAAGAGGTTAAATCCCTCTCTACCCTTTAAAAATCAAGCAAGTTACTTTATAGAGTGACCGACTCATGCAGTTTGCCCAGGACTTTCCTGGTATAAGCAGTTGGAAGTCCCACATCCTGGGAAAACTTGGGCAGTTGTTCCCCCTACTCTAAGCTTTCTTGTTCTCACCCATAAAATTGGTCTAACAAAATACCTAAAAAACCTCCCTCATAGATTTGTTGGGGGAAGTAGGTGAACTAATATATATAAAATGCTTAGCACAATACCTGCTGCATAAATAAGTATTAATAAAAATGGTAGCTAATATAATTATTACCAATATCATTATTATTCAGAGATAGCTTTTCAGAATACCGTGTGTGCATTATATCATGTTGGACAATTTTTAATTTTTATTTATTTATTTTTTTAAATATTTATTTATGTATTTATTTTTTGGCTGCATCGGGTCGTAGTTGTGGCACATGGGATCTTTCACTGCAGCGTGTGGGCTCTTCATTGCAGTGCATGGACTTCTCTCTAGTTGTGGCACACAGGCTCATTAGTTGCAGTGCGAGGGCTCTCTAGTTGTGGCATGTGGGCTCCGTAGTTGCGGTGTGTGGGCTTAGTTGCCCTGCGGCTTGTGGGACCTTAGTTCCCTGGCCAGGGATTGAACCGGCATCCCCTGCATTACAAGACAGATTCTTAACCACTGGACCACCAGGGAAGTCCTGACAATTCTGAATTGGAATGCAGATGGAAACAGACAAATGTGGACACAATTTCCTGCTCATGCTATGAATGAGAGTATGAAATTAGATCTGGTTAGGCTTCAAAATAATGATTTTCAGAAACTTCCTATAAAATAAAATAAAACAAAATAAGTAAAATAAAAAAATAAAATAAAATTCTATGCCCCCTTTCCCAGAATTATAGTCTTTCTATATATAACACAACAGGCTTCTGTTTTATTTGTAATTTCCTTTTTATTCTTATTGAAATAAAGTCATTTTAACACTTTTTGGCCTAACCAATGAACACGATTTGGGTTACTGGTAATAGTAAATATCATAAGGCTGTCTCCTTGAGCAGGAAGAAAGAGATGCAAATACCTGGGGTACATGTGCATTTCATGCTACCTCGATTATTGACTAAGTGCCAGTTAAATTTCCCTTAATTCTACCTGAGAAGATGTGGTCTCCACTGATTTCTAGAAGAGTTAATTTTAATTAAAATATTTTTTCCATGTATTCAAATAGCAAGCGAATATAATAATATTCACTGTTTGATAATGTACAGAAGTAACGTGTCTCTATGTACAAAGGCAAGTGATATGGGTTTTTGTGATTTCCTTAAATAACATCATTTTATATATTTTCACACTCACAGCTATACATAGTCACAAAATGTTCAACTTTAAACTATCCCATTTAAAATGACATTCTTTATTTTTATACTCTGTAGAATTTATACTTGAAATAGCATTTCCTTGTCCTCCCATCACCACCCCCTTTTCAATTCCCAACTTGGGAACATTTCGACCATCATTTCTGGCTGGGAGGAAGTCGGAGGATTTCATCTCAGAAATGTTCAGCTTCCACCCCAGCTGGGCGTGCTCCCTGGTCCCTCCACCCTCCTCCTCAAATCCCATCGCCAGCCTCCATCTCTACGGAGGACACAGAAAAGAGGGGCAGTTGGTACAAATGTGGACAGCTTCATCCTCTTCTGCCTCCACAATTTCCTTTAATAGCAATAACTGATATTCACTGAGCATTCACTGTACTTACGCTTCATCCTGTCTAGTCCCCCAAATAGCCCCAGCGTGGAAGCACCATTATGACCCCTTTTCTAAGACTGAGGAAACTGAGGGTTAAAAATGTTACAGAACTTGCTGAAAGTCACTCCCCTGAGAAAGACCAGAAATGGGATTCACATCCCTGTCCTTTGCTCAGAGAGGTTGGTTGGTCTCTCAACCTTTGTGTCAGTGTTTCTTGAAAATACCCTCGGGATATCTCTTCACAGTAGTCAACTGAAATCCCACCACCAGAAATAACCAATATTAAAATATTGGAGGGCTTCCCTGGTGGCGCAGTGGTTGAGAATCTGCCTGCCGATGCAGGGGACACAGGTTCGTGCCCTGGTCCGGGAAGATCCCACAGGCCGCGCAGCGGCTGGGCCCATGAGCCATGGCCGCTGAGCCTGTGCGTCCAGAGCCTGTGCTTCGGAACGGGAGAGGCCACAGCAGTGAGAGACCCGCGTACCGCAAAAAAAAAAAAAAAAAAAAAAAAAAAAATAAATATATATATATATATAGAGAGAGAGAGAGGATATTTTCCTTTTAATTTTTAAATAAATTATATTAATTTCTTTGAGAGTTATGATAATGTTATATGTACAAATTTTTATCCTACTCTTCCCCCTTAACATTACATTTTGAGTATGCATTTTTTTAAATGGTACATATCAGACCTACTTTTCATTCCCATGGCACACAAATTACACCTACAAAGCAGGTGTGAATTAGAAGTAAAGATACAGATATAATTTCCAGCCTGCCAGAGCCTTCCTCATGACCCTTCCAGTCAATAACCCCCCCGCCAATACAGCCACTATTCTGAAATCTACCACCACAGATTACTTCATTTATATAAAGTTCTACTCTTGAATTTCATGTAAATGGAAGAACACAGTATATTCTTCTTTGTGTCTGGTTTCTTTTGTCTGTGAGAGTCATCTGTGTTATTACAAGTAACAGTATCATTGCATGAAGTTTTCACACAATCATCTTTTGATGTTACTCCTGCTATAGCTTCCCAACTAGTTCAACCAAATCTGCTCTTGACCTCTTTCTATTTCTTTCTTTCTTTTTTTTTTTTGCGGTACGCAGCCCTCTCACTGTTGTGGCCTCTCCCATTGCGGAGCACAGGCTCCGGACGCGCAGGCTCAGCGGCCATGGCTCACGGGCTCAGCCGCTCCGCGGCATGTGGGATCTTCCCGGACCGGGGCACGAACCTGTGTCCCCTGCATTGGCAGGCGGACTCTCAACCACTGCGCCACCAGGGATGCCCTCCTGACCTCTTTCCAATAAATTTTCCATACGGATGCCAGAAATGTCTTTCTATAAAATAGATATGATCTTGTCCACCCCAAAATCTTTGCCTGAAGGATGAGGAAGCCATCCCTGACTCCTTTTACACACTCTTCTTGTCAAAGCTCCTGTAGCTTCTTTCTTTGAACTTGCCTTGTCTTGAATGATATACCTGCATGATCATCTGTGAGTCTCTCCCACTAGGCTATAACCTCCAGGAGGTCAGATTCTATCTTGTTCATCTATATATACTCAATGTCTAGGATGGTGCCTTATACATAACAAAGAAATATTTGTCGAATGAATAAACGACGTGCCACTAGTTTCTCATTTGCATTGCTGATGGAAATTCTAATTGTCCTTACTTCATGGCCACACTAATTTTCTTGTTGCATACCTCTAATCATATTATTTCCCCCAGCCTATGACCTCCACGTTGCCTGCACAATTAAGTACACATTTTCACTTAGCATTTTAGGATTCTCAAAAAGCCTTCCTGGACCTCTACTATTATCCTTGTGTAGCTCATGCTGTAGACCAAAAGGAGTGATTGGCTCCCCCTTGAACCCATCTCAACCTTCCCAACCCTGCACCTTTGCACCTCTTAATCATTCCTTCTACCCAGAATGCCCCGTCAACACCAAGCAATCCTTCTAGCTCATCTCATTGTCACCTTCTCTGTAAAATAACTCTTAATCCTCTCCACAAAATGTTAACTCTCCTCTCAACCAACAGCATGAAATACCTTTTCGAGTACTACAATGTGCCAGTACTTTTCTAAATGTTTCATGTATATTAATCATTCAATCTTATGAAATAAGCATTGTCGTCACCCACACGTTATAGATGAGGAAAGGGAGTCACAGAGATATTAAGTTTACATAGATTTCCTTATTAGAATGTAAATATAGCAGGCAGCAGCTCTGCATCTTGCCCATCTCTGTCGCCTCCATCTTGCCAGGCACATATGTGGTATGTGAGTAATGTACCAGGCACTGCACTTTACATACGTGATCTCATTTAGCAGTGCTCTTGGGGGTGTATTTATTTTGCAGATGAGGAAACTGAGACAAAAAGATAAGGATTTTGCCTAGATGACACAGCTAGTAAGGGGCAAGGAGAGGATTCAGCCCTGGGTCTGTTTGTCCTTAAAGCCAAGTTCTTACCACTGTGCTCTGTGCCTCACTGATACCCCTGGGGTATTGGTATTCTGAGTCAAACCACTGCTCCTGGGCCAGCTAGTTCCTCACAAGCAGGACTCTGCACCCTCAATGTCCTGCTTTTCATGTGTTTCAGATTCCAGTAAAATGCAGTATGATGCAAGCCATCGTCCCTGCAAAATGCATGCTATGGAGTAGAGGGACAAAGGGGTCTCTCTGCTCCAGGGGCCTGCAGGGGCGAAGCCCGGCAGTGCAGAGCAACAGGTGCCTGACTTTAGTGGGGCCAAAAGCAAAAGGTGGGACAGCATGTAGGGACTGCAACGAACCCGTGTTCATTATCTACAGCAAAGCTGAAATTCCAGCCCGCTTCTCGCCAGTCCTTTAGTCACATCTCCATATCCTTCTCTACCATGCGTTCAAAAATGACAAACTCCTTCCATCATTAATTGAAGCAAGAAACAGTCTACAGTGTTCAGTGGGCACGAGGAGGATGGAGTGGGAATA